ATTCCAAAGTGGTGGTGGGTTGGTTAAAAAATTCTGAAGAGGCTATGTGGCGATACAAGAATGAAATGAAGAAATTTAGTTGGTTGACAAGGAATATGTTGGTCACTGTACAGTGGGTGGGGAGATCAGCAAATACTTTGTCAGATGTGTTAGCTAAGCAAGGGGTAAATAGGGAAGAATTATTTTGAGCTCAGTTGTGATTATTGTTTTTCTTTCCTAGTTTACTTGGAAGACTCAAGGAGGGGCTGCAGCTCGTGCCTCTCGTTGGGATGATGTATGAACTCACTCTAAAGAGTTTCATTCCCTCAAAAATATCTTGAATCTCGATATTTCACCTAATTCTCAAAAAAAATAGGCCCGTATTTGAGCAGCCTTGTACAACATTATAAAACTGTAATTTTAATTAATATGAGTTCATAATTGTACAAGATTATAGCTGCTTTTTTTGAAATATAAAGAAGGGTGTTCCCTGATGCAGGGTGCCCCTGCATCCTTGTTTATCATTTTTCTGTAAATATTCTGTTGGTGAGATATTATTTCATACACAAGCTTTCACACTCACTATCTAGTTGGCAGTTAAATTCATCTTAAGGAATCTTATCTGGCACAAGACTGACAAGGAGGCCAAAAATTCATTGATCTCATAATGAATGCTCTCTGAGATCAGTATTTATGCCTCCACATGTACAAGGGTACAATATTTTGAGATATACCAGAGTTTGATCTAACTTTTCATTTATCAATATCTGGGTATTTGACTAATTGATGTAATGAAAGGCCATTCCATGTTTTTTTATTTTTTTTTCATGCACAGAAACAATATGTTCACTTTTTCTTTTTCTTCCATGTTTTTTAATCTTCTTATATGTTACTTGAATCTAAAATTATGTACTTGTTTCTTTACATGTTAATTGGATAGTGTTGGCCTTGGACTTCATGGATTTTTATCTCTTTATATGTTTTTTATTAGGGGCAAAATTGGAAATCATGGTTGTTTCTGATTCCAGCCTCTTGATGAACCAAACATCATTAATCGGAATCTGATTTCTATTCATGCCTGAACCAAACAGGTAGGAGGAATAGACCATTCCAATTCTGATTCTAAGGGATTCCAATTCCGATTCTGATTTCGATTCCAATCGTCAACCAAATGGACCTTAATACTGATTGATTAATTTTATCATTATTCAAACTATACACAAATTATAAGATTCAGAAAGCAATGAAATACATTGATTTAGTTGTCCACTATCTGTTGCAAAGATCTAAACTTTGATCATGACCATCCAAATATGTACCAGTACCTAACATTGATATGTTCTCATGAACAACAATTTGTCACTTGGATGTGTATCACAACTCTCAACTGTAACATCAGCATCGTTTTGTTCATTTGTAGAACAATCATTATTTAAGGGCATTTAGGGAATATTAAAATGTACATGTTTGTTCAGTATAGCATGTGTGATGGGTAAAGTAGTAAATTGGCATTGATTTGCTTGTCATTTAGGCTCTGTTTGGGATGAGTGCAAATAACAAACATGCTGGTTCATGAAAATGCTAAGTTGGTTTAGTTTTGCATTGATAAATTTTGTTTTCTTACCAAGAATGAAATCCACTTTTTTATACTGACCAATTTTGAGTGCAAAGTTTGTATCCACTTTTTTATGCAAACTTTGCTCTCAATTTTAATGCCAACATGCCTTGGAACTTGTGATAACTATCATTTTCAGCACACAAATGTATTTTATCAAACACCTGCAAAACTGAACCAGAGTGCAGTTTTATCAAACACCCTCCGGTCCCAAGACCAGAAAAAAGGAGGCGGCTTGCATCAGGTTGGCATCTGGCACTAAAACTTTTGCCAAATTCTCATGATCATGGACCCAGATCAGTCCCCAATATAGTTGGGATAAGGTCTTGATGATGATCATGATTTACTTATTATCATTTAAAGGAATATCTTCAACATTCCTGAAGGTATCTGAAAGTCTAGACATTTATTAGAAAGGTGAAGGAAGGTTTTAGATAATTTCCCATGTTTTTCAAATTGATCCAGAAATGAAACTGTTTTTCCATCCTGGTGGTGGGTCAGCACTCAGCAGTTCAACTATCAAGGTCAAATGGGTCAGCTAGTGATGTCATATTAAAAAGAAACAATTTAAATATATATACAAAAAATTTGTAGAAAAATTTGGACGCATCTTTAATAATATATATTCACCATATTAAACAAAAAATAAGAGCAACAAACATGAATTATTTTTATTGATAAAATGGAATACAAATTAGTCAGAAATTTTGATATTTAATATCTAGCCCATGACCCACTGACCAGGTCAAATGGTTCTATAGTTCAATCCATTGGGTCAAAGGGTCATTGACTGAGTCAACAGTATTTTGCAAGCAAAAGGTTTGGTGCTAAAATAGACCTAGAATCCTGGTTGGTGATGGGTCAACCAGTCCAACCAGCCTAGTAAATCACAGGTTGAAAACACTTATAAACACCAATATTAAAAAAATGGAACCACATTTCTCTCCACATCAGCAATTTATCTGTCAAGGTCATGCAAGTAAATTTGTGATGTCACAATTTAAACAATATATGTAGTCTATTTCTCCCCAGACCACTGTTTTGTAAAAAGAGCCTTGACTTGGTCAACAACCCAATTAACCATTTGGCCCAGTCAATGGGTTATTTGAATAGATATTAACTTGTTCATTAACAACATTAATTCTTATATAGTCACACATTTTTGTTTAATATGACAGATTATATAATATTAGAGACATGCCTGAATTTACTACATCTATATTCCAAGAAGGCATCAACACTTCTTGTCTTTGTTACATGGGTTCTGATACAGAAATTATTATTATCATCATAATTGTTGTTGTTGTTGTTGTTGTTATCTGAAATCACCATGTACAATGAAAAATAAAACAGCAGAAATTAAAATATGGCTGTCAATAATCCTAAATCACTGAAGAGCAATTGAAATATGTCTGTCAATAATCCAAAATCATTGAAGCATCATGTTGATGCCTTCTTGGAATAACCATGAAAATTGTTTTTACTCGACTACAGTATATATGGTGGTTTGAATTTTGAAAAGACATAGATATGACCATCTCAGACACAAATTGAACATACCAGGTATAGATATAAGATCGGGGCTTCCAACCATTGATCTAAGCCACTGGATTCTGCTTTTCCCCTCCTTTCCTCCACTATAAATGCCCCGGACAGCGTATAAGTTGGTGTGAAAACCCCTCCCCTCAATCTCTAGTTTATCAATTTTGGGAATCCCTGCAAAGCAGCAAAAGAACTCAAATAAAGAAAAACAACAACAATATGAAAATACATTCCCCAACAAAAGCAATAATCATAATGTTAATATAACATACTGGCAATGCTAAGGCAAGACCAACAAACAGATCAAAGCACAAAGGAAACATACAATAAGAATTAAATGAGATGGGATCTCCTGAAAGCAAAAATCGCACAAGAGCATGGCATCCAGCTGCACACTGGGAATATCTCCACATGAATTTAACATAAAAGTATGGCAGATATTCCCCATGTGCAGCTCGATGCTTTGCATCCAGGGTGTTTGCACGATTTTTGCTTTCAAGACATTGGGATTCAAATTAAATRCCCAGTGACAGTTTACTGTTTAGGAAAAGAGACTTAGCATTCATTCGTACAACATCTTACATATGGCAGCTGAAATAGTAGACCAAAAAGCCGAATTGGTTCCCCACAACTTTCAAATTTGCTTGGATTTACTACATATATAAAAGTTTTCCTTGATTCCCCTCTAAGAAATCAAGATCTCAAAGGTGATTAAACATCGTACATTAGCTTCAAACTTTGTAGCAGATATTGAATATTTCCACTATGGCATAGGCATACTGAATATATCAATGAACTAAAGAAGAAAAAGAGACTTCAGTAAAGTAAATAGACTGCAAAGAAAATGGACCTGGCAAGACGGGAGAAGTTTCTGCAACTGTAGGCTCACTCGACCTCCCAAATACATCTGTCACAATGCATTCACATCTCAAGCATCGACCTATATCCTCCAACCGCACTTTATATGAGCATGTTCGCTGTGAAGGCAATGTCTCAAAACACTTATTATCCCCCGCTTCGGATGAACAGAACCTGCAGTACCAAAAACTAGCATCATGTATCATAAGAAGCAAGGAAATGCATGCATATATAGATACTTCAAATAATCTACACATGGAAAATATTATATCTTCTGATGTTCCCGAGAAAGGAATACGTGTTCAAGGTCATTGTGGAGATACTTTTGAAGGAGGGCACGGGGCAGAAGTGCACATTGGCAAACCATGTCCATAAAACCAACAATTTGAAAATATGGAAAAATGACATGACCAAAGTATCTCCACAATGGAAAAACCAATACTTTGGACAGTTTGAAGAAAAAAAGGCCTTTTATGTGTTTGTATCCTAACTGGTGTATTCTTTGCAAAGCTAATGGTGAGGATTGTTTTCACTTACTAATATCCTACTCTTTTGTTGCAACTATTTGGAATTGGATTTTTGTTTTGTTTGGGTGCAGGTGGAACCTACCTACAAATGTTTGACTATTGTTTGAACCTTCTTTTGGGTGGCCCACTAAAAGAGGGTGGAGCATGTGGAAATGTATTAAACAGCTGCTCTCTGGACAATTTGGGAAAGAAGGAAAGCAAGAATCTTTCAAGAAAAAGAAAGAAGCCTCCTAAATGTCAAGGACTGCATTTTGACAAGAACAATGCATTGGTTGAGAACTATGGACTCCTTCCAATCCTTTTCCTTTGATGACCTCTGGTGTAGCCAGTCAGTTGTGGCAGTTAGCTCTTCCAGGAAAGATAGTAAATGCAGAATGCGTTCCTCCTGAAGGAAGTGTAAAGATGAACTTCAATTTGTCTCTAAATTGAAGATCAATTTTTAAAGGAGCTATGTAGTGGGGTTGAGCCTGGGGGAAGAAGAATGTTGCTCTATTGGTTAAATGGCTATGGAGATGGCCAATAGAGAGAGGCTTTGGCATAAGGTTGTAGGAAGTATTCATGGACGTGCAGGTAAAGGTTGGGATGCTAGAGTGTCTCAGCAGGCTACTTTGAACTCTACATGGAAGGCTATTTCCTTCCCTAATTCCTCAGCCTCATCAGGTATGATGTATGTATTGGAGATAGGGTTCTCTTTAAGGAAGACACTTGGATTGGTAACTCCACCCTTAAGGACCTTTATCCATCTTTGTAATCCCTTTCCCTCTTTAAACATGAACCCACTCAAAGGTTTGTTTCTTTCTCCCTGTCCTCTGGTTTCAATTGAAATTTGGGGTTCGTAAGAGACCTGAGAGACTCTGAGCTTGATCAAGCTGCTTTGATACCTATATCCCTTGACATGGTTTGTTTGGATTTCTCTAAACTTGATGCTAGAATCTGGACTCCCAACTTTTTTTATGCCTCTTTTTTCTCTCAATTGTGTTTTGTCCCTAACCCTCTTCCTTTCTTTTTTAAGGAAATCTGGTCTAAGCCCATTCTCCCTAAGGTCGAAGCCCTTTGTTAGAAAGCCTCTATTGGGAAATTGAGCACTTTGGATAACCTACAAAAGAAAAGACCCAACCTTTGTATATCTCCAAGCTGGTGTTTCCTTTGCAAAGCAAATGGAGAAAGTTGTTACCATCTTYTAATATCCTGCCCCATTATTGTGAAACTTCGGGAAAAATTTTTTGGTCTTTTTGGGTGCAAGTGGATGATGCCTTTGCAAATCGGGGGGCTTTTCGACCTTACAATAATCAGGTGGTCTAAGTGAAGAGGGAGAGTTTTATGGATATGTGTTAGGGCTGCTTTAGTATGGACAGTTGGGAGGAAAGAGATAACAAGATTTTCAATGATAAAGAAAGGGATTAGGCTACTGTTTGGGACTGTCTGCTGATTAGGGTTATTAACTGGGCTAAAGCTTTGGATCTATTTTCACTCTTCTCCTTTGATGACATATGGAGAAACTGGGAATTAGTTGCTAAATCTTCTTCAGTTAAGGACAAACTTGTTGTAGCCTGGAAGCCCCCGGAAGAAGACTTCATAAAGCTAAAATTTGATGGAAATGGCCTTGGTAATCCTGGGCCCTCTGGTTTTGGAGGTGTATTCGGGAATGCAAAGGGCCAAATTGTTGGTTTATTCTCTGGCCCAATTGGAGTGGCAGATGTGGTTAGTGCAAAGGTCCAAGTTGTTTTACAGGGAGCTCAAATTGCTACAGAGTTGAACTTCAGGAATTTGGTCATTGAAGGAGACTCTAAAGAGGTAACTGAGTGGCTGAAAGAACCAGAGACAGTAGCTTGGTCTTTCAAGGGGGGGATGAGAAGATTCAAGTGRCTAACTTCTAATTTAATAGTTAAAGTTCAATGGGAGAGGAGATCAGCTAATGGATTGACAGACCTACTAGCTAAGCAAAAGTAAGGGGTGAACAAGGATCACTTATTCTAGGCTAAATTGTAATTTTACTTTGTTTTTGAGGCAGCATCTCACACCTCRTGGGTTGTGTTATATCAGTTGTTAGTTCATCTTAATTAATTTTAACGGAATGCTTTATTATTCATCAAAAAACAATAAGGACTGTAACATCTTAGCTCTATTCTCTATCCAATTGGGTTTGGGACACTCTACTGGGGATCAACTTAAGGCATACCAAAAGACAACTAAATCTGCTCCTATAATTATTTGGCACCTTTATGATGACGTGGGGACCACATGGGAGCTGAGTTAACAGTGGATCAACTTGGGAAGACCCTAGAGTCTTCAATCCTCCTTAAGGTGCTCTTTGTGTRGTTGAATTTACTGCTGGACAGGATTTATTTGACTTTCTTACATTTCTAGACGGCAAGGGTATTTTTGTAATTTTGCATATCTAGGGGTTATGTTAGGGAACAGGTCTTAGCCTAGTAATTTCCCTGCATCTGGTCTTATGTTTGTAATTGTTTGGGGCAGGTTTAGTCTAACCAAGCTTCTTTTTGTAAGTGGCTTGTTGGGCAAGCTAACTTGGAGGGGCAAGTTTCTTCCTTTGGAAGCTTCGTTCTCATTAAGCTTGTAAGGCTCATTCGAAGAATGGTTTTTGCTAATGAACAAAGAAAGTTCTCTACAAAATTTATTGTGATTGCCCTCACCCTTGGGTGTGATTGCCTAGAGTTTCATCTTATTTCCATCTCTTCCTTTCTCTTCTCTTCTTTCTCTGTTAGTTCTTTGTTTGTGCTACACATCTAGACCTAATTTGGTTGCAAAAATAGTGCTGAATCACAAAGATCCTGCATCAGACTCTAATAGGGTTGAACTGTTAGCCGTTAGCGGCCCTAAAAGGTATTCAAATTGCAGATCAACTTGGCGAGGAAAATCTAATACTTGAAGGAGACTCTAAAGTTGTTGTGGGGTGGCTCGCAGATTTGGACTCAGTGGTTTGGTGCTATAGGGATCTTTTAAAGAAATCTAAGTGGCTAACAAGAAACATGAATATTAGCTTACATTGGGTGTGAAGGTCAGCAAATGCTCTAGCTGAGTGTCGTGCCAATGCCAAACAAGGGGTTAATAGTTCCACCAAGAAAAGGGGTTAATAGGGAAAATTGTAATGGGCTGCTTTGTATTTGTAATTTATTCCCTACTGTTTAATCTGTAATTTTCTTTTCAGAAGAGGTTGCACCTCGTGCCTCTCCTTGGGATGCCTGTAATAGTTCTCATTTCTTGTTAATAAAACCACACTTAATTATCAAAAAAAATTCTATTTAGCCAAATAACACTGGAACACTTGAAGGCTAGTTTATATATCACTCCACTCCTAATATTCCTCAAACTCAGACTTGTCAGTAAAAAGCAGAAAATCCCAAACAAGCCACAACCAACAAAAAAAAACTATTTTTTTGATAGAAAAAAAAAAACTATTCTAGCCCTTGAAAAACTACTATAATACTTTCAAAACAATGCAATCAATGACTTGAACCAAACAAACTATTATATTGCTTGTTTATTCACCTATTCAATTATATATACAGTTCTGAGCAGGTTCTTTAAACTCTCAGAAGAAATTACATACAATTATGCATGAATAGGGGCCATTGTTTGATGTAATGGTAAAACCTCAGGCTTACAAGCATGACAAGAAAGGTTCAAGTCTGAGAGTAGTAATTTTGTGGGGGAAAATGCCAAAGGTTAGGCCCATTTCCAGTCCACCCCACCCAAGACCCCAGATAGTTGAAACTAACATTGGTTCATGCCCTATTTACAAACAATTATGCACAAACATTTCTGCACAAGAGAATCTTGAAAAAAAATATAGCATCATACCATTGGTATTTAATGTCCTTTTTGTACTTGGCCCAAACGTGTTGTTGACTCTCACTATCTGGGATAACCTCAACAGCTGTGAGAACTTCTCCTTCCACTGCCTTTCGCGTAAGTGCAAGCAACTGAACTTTTGGAAGTTCTGATGATCATTGAACCCCACATGCAATAGAAGCATATTATGTAAGTATCATAATGCGGATATTGATGAAACTCCATATGTTTTATACGTGCAAAGGAGAACTAGACATTCACTTGTTTAGAAGGCAATAACAGTCAAAATTTGAAGATAAATTGAGAAATAACCACAATATAAAATAGGCAAAATACAGCTGCAGCACACCAAAAGATAAGAGAGAGAGAGAGAGGACCAAAAGTGCCATTTTTTTTTATAATTGAGCAAAAGTGCCATTTCTAATGCGGATATCTGCCACCATGTAGATAAAACAAGTACAGCAAGTTTCATTTCATGCCTTTATGTATCTGGATAACCACAGTAGTTTCCAGAAAAACAAAAGGAAACAAAACCACTCTGGCCAGAATAGTTCACGAAAAACAAGTAAACCCTCAAGGATCAAAAAGTTGACTAATTCAAAAGGCTTGATCATGCACCAAAACACCATTTTTTCCCATGTTAAAGTGTAAATTAGTCTTGGCAAGTTTTAATTCCACTACTTCACACGGAAGCACATCCTTTTTTGTTTTGATCATTAACAGGATAATTGCATTATTTATAGAAAATGATACAATGTAGCACCAGAGAGAGAGAAAGAGAGAAACTCTCTTAGCTCTCTCCGAGATGACAGCAGATTACACAAATTACAGCACAGCCCAGAACAATTGATCCCTTCCCACCCCTTGCTTTGACAGAGCATCAGCAAAAGCAATTGCCCTCCTTTTTAACCACTGCATCTTGATCTCCATATTTTGCGTTAGACACTTGAACTTTCTTCTTTCAATCATACGGAAACACATCAATAAGTATGAGTTCAAGGTGTCAATAGTTTCACAGAATGAGGTTCTAAAACCCAGACCCAGTTTTCACCTACACCTAAATTTTGACTAGATATCTTGTAAACCTGAATAGAAATAAAACTCGTAATTTCTGGTTTAACAGAAGCTTTGCATACTATGATGCCCAGATACGAAATGGACATTGACACATAAGGAAATGGGGATGCAACTCTCCATTTCTTAAGATTTTGGACATGGATTGTGTCTAGTTTTCAAAGCAAAATGTCATTTCTCAAGACTTATGTCTTGCCAAATTTAATTAAATTTCTAACAAGTGCATAAAGCTTTATTGTGTAATTTGTTAAAATATACCTCTTTACAAATTTCAAAAGTGTTAATGCTATAGAGTTCATCTAGAAATATCCATGCAGTATCCGGTACCTTATCCCTAAGTATTGGATACAATACTGGTGTGCTAGGAATGTATGCATATCCAGGTAACATAGTAATGCAAGAGCTGAATAATCAAATATGGAATTTTCTAAAATTTTCTGTATTTTTGTATTTTTGGTCAGTATGGAGTGATTCATTGGGATCTATCTCTTTCTTTCCATTAATGTGGATTTAGCATCTCTTCTCAACAAAATGGTATAGTATTACAAAAAATGTAATTGACCTGGAACCAGAATCACTTAAGCTACCAGTTTCCAGATAAGCAGTTCAACTGTCTGGCAAAGTATAGCCACAGCAGGATATCATCAAGAGCCCACAAATAATGTTTAAACTTGGTTAATATCTAACTGATTCTGTTTAGATTTAAGAGTGGAACAGGTGTAGGATATGAGAAGAATGGTTTTACAGAGCCACAAAAGAGCATGAGGCATGTAACTCTATTGCATACATCGCTGTTTTAAAAACCAAATTAGAAACCAAATCACTTTCCTTCTGAGTGATGGGTCAGTGGTTCAAACATCTGAGGTCAACAGATTGGACCATTAAACAATGGTGAAATCTAAACCCTTAGATCAACAAATGTACATCAGTCATTGGTCAGTGGCAAACCTCTTTTTAGATGTTTGATTGACAGATTGGTCATCTGAGCTTTAACATTCAAATCATGTTAACAAATAAAAATACAATACAAATAGTTGATTAAAATGATATAAACCATCACCCATGGACTGGGTTGAACAGTTCACAAGTTTGAACATCTGGGATGAATAGGTTTTGACTAAGTCAATAGGTTTTTGTAGTTAATGGGTTTGGGGATGAACTAGACCGTCCGGGCCTCTAGGTGACAAGTCAAATRGTTTGACCATTTGGTTCAACGACAGTGAAAATACTGATTTATGTATCAAATTCAAATTACAATAAAGTGACCAATTTACCCCTTGCCACTAATCACCTCTATAACAACAATAAAACAGCACAAAATAAAGATCCAAAGCATGTAAATCAAACCCCTACTACTACCAAGAAAACTTCATATCAAGAAACTACTCAGACAAGTAGACCCTTGTCCTAACATTGCTCATTGTTTTTTTATCAACATTTAGCAACATTTGGTCGTTATTCAACAAAACTAGCATTTCTCTGCAACAATACACTCCACAAAAGAATTTAACCACTTAATTTCTCGAATTCTTTTTCATTCAGCTATACCTTGGATCCAAACAACTATATGTATATTTCTTTTAGATTTTCCTTTATTTTCTTTCACTTTCTGAGTTCCGTTTTTAATGATCAGTACTCTTTTCTGAGTTCTATTGTTCTTTTGTTTCTTTACATTGTCTGAAATCTGAATCTAGATTCATATAATTATCAAATAAAACCCAAATCAACCCACAAAATCATCAGGATACATCCCAGACCTCAACCTATACTAGCCTTCAGGCCTCATCATACTCAATCTTAAGCCCCAGGCCACAAACCCCCTTCCTATTAAATTTCCCTAGGATTTAATTAATTTTTCTTAGTCCAGCAATCACCAAATCAGAAAGTCCATGATTTATATTAAGGATTGATTATTTTCCACATCAACATCTCACTAAGATGGATCCCAAGATCATCTGACACATTGTGTAAGATTTCAGTATATGGCTCTTTTATTCCTTATCTGTCAAGCAGTTTTTGAGGCCTTATGGTCCTTATTGCTATCATGCCTCCCCTCATCTGGGGGTCTGAAAGATAGTTCTTGTTCCTCCATTTCGATTGAAAGTTTGAAACAAGTTTTGCCAACAAAAAAGATGACCAACCAGGATCTGCTTCTCTGTGTTGATTGTATAAATCAATCTGATGCCAAGTCTTCCATTTTCCAATTTGGGATTAATGATAAATAAGACCAGCAAACAACTTGGTTTTAACTTCAGACAGCATGTGATACAATACACATTCAATAGTATATTGGATCCCAGCTTAGGGCATTAGAAGAGTTTAGGGTTACCTGGAAGAATGATATCTGTAGGCTCTGATAATCTGAGCTCCCCAATAACATTATCTGAACGAACAGGTGTATAGCTGGAAGTAAAATTTGAAAGTTAGTAAACCTAACAGAAACAACAAAAAAAAAATGCCAAAATTTGTCACTAGAAGTTAGCTAACAAGGCCAAGTCACTTAATCAACAGGGGAATCTTTATTACTATTACTATTACCATTACTATCACTAGAAGATATTGACAGTCTTACTTGTAGGCTGGTCACCTGGTTTTTGATGTGACGATTTAAAGGCTTCATGGCAGATCAAAACTGTTCATGTTGATGAAGCAAGAATGAATGAAGGAGATGATTGTGAGTGAAGTTGGAAAACTTTTGAAGTGAGTAAAAATTTTAGAGTCAAGTCTTGTTGGGTTTTTCGTTAATATGGATCTCGGTGAGGAAGAGGTTTCAAAGTGGGTGGGTTCGGAATGGCGGATGAAASACAAATTTCAGGTTATAAAACTCAATGCGGGTTTCTTCCTTTCCATTTTCAGTTGTAAAGAGGAAGCAAAGGAGGTGCTTTGGCAGGAATCAAATAGAGCCAGTTTGTCGGAGCTTCAATTGCATAGATGGAATCCTCTTGTGGGCACCATTAGAATTTAGAAATGTGGGAGAGGATACTAGAAGCCTGGTCCAGACTCCAGATCATGGTATTTGGCATCCCTCTTCATGCATGGTGTCTGAAAACTTTTCGAGCAGTTGGAGACGTGTGTGGAAGATTGGAGAAAAACAATGCTAGGAATAGGGCCTGGAAAAATAGTTGCAGCAAGGTTACTGGTTGTAGTAGAGGAAGTTCATTTGATTCCAATGTCACTGGTCTTGAAATTTGCAGGAGAATGGTATGATTTAAGGATTGTGGTGGAAGKGCTACTTTCAGATGGTTGGGAGGTGATTTTGCTCAGGGAAGTGCAGCAGAGTCAAAGATGGAGGCGGATTTGGAGGGGATTTTGGAAAAATGGAAGATGAATAGTCAGGTCAGGAGGTAGAAGACAAGAGTATTTTTGGAATCTTCAACAATTTGGGCTCAAAGGTGGATGAAGAAGTTTTGAGACAAGTGGGAGTCGGTTTTAAGTTGGGTTTATGAGGTTGGAGATCAGAAAACTCAGAAGCCAGTAGGCCTAATCGGGTCAATGATGAATCGGTTTTTGTGGGCTAGGATCAACAAGTCAGGTTAAGCCAAATTTTGATCCCCTTAATACCGAGGGGTTTCTGTCGCTCAAGCAGGTCTGGGGAGTGGCATGAACCCTAGTCCTGAGGTTTTTGGTGAAAGGATTCTTCCTAGCATAGTTCTAGCAAGCGGGTTGGCATGAAGTCGTCAATCATCAGAGATGAATCTCRACTCTTAGATGTTGAAACAGTGGTTATTGGAATTACAAGGCTTAAGGAAGATGGTACCATGGGCTATTAGATAATGATAGAGGAGCAAGAGATCTCTAGCGATGCAGCAGGTAAATATTCTTGTGGGGAAGTGATTTCTTGGAAGTTAAAGACATGTTAGGAACAATCATTGTACGCCACAGTCTTTGAGGAAAGAGAGTCATGTAGAAACAAGAGAACAACCTTGTTTGTAGGTGTCATATGTATTAATTTTCCTAATTTGTCCGGGGGAGAGACTCTTAAGCTGGGTTCAATGGTGGCTTTGAATCATCTAAGGTTTGAGAGTGTGGTGGTAGAAGAATTTGGTGTGCACTCTGAAGAAGGTTATGTCTGTCAACAAGGGATTGGCTTGGCAGAGCCGCAGAGGGTCGAGTTGGGGAAGGTAAGTTGGGCTCGCCAGTGTTGGGTGGTTTTTCTAGTTACCAAGTGACTAGTTTTCAAAGAACTGGAGGGACGTTGACCCAAGTAACTTCATTGAAGTTGTAATTGGGAAACTGGGCAAAGACTTGGGCAGGAAAAGAAAAGAGAATGGGAAGTGTATTTTTTTAAGGGAGATAAAGGTAGCCATTAAGATTCCGGTTAACCCAAAAATAATGAAGAATTCAAAAAATGGTTAGTTGGAGCATGTGAGAAAAGTATTTTCCCAGTTGAAAGGTGTTTGTGAYGTTGGCCCATCCAATAAGTTCAAGAGAGTGTATAAAAGGTGAAGTTGGGGTGTCTGGTGATCTTCGGTCTTCTCGTATTCAAGATTTTTGTTTGAAGGAATCTAGAGATGTTCTTGACAGCATAGCCAACATTACTTGTCAAGTTTCCGATCAAGAGGAAGGGGAGGATGGCTTTGAAGCTAAGGTGAAGATGATGGAAAACCCTGCTCAGGCCCTTGGGGAAGCCTTGGATTCAGATGGCTCGGTGCATGAGAAGTGGAAGTGAAAACTTATGTTGTTTAAAGAAGGGAAGACTTGGAAGAGGATCAGGTCATGATCTGATCCGAATTCGAACTTGATCCTATTTTGTTGGATTTGGATATCCCCTATCGGATTTTGGATCGAATAGGATAATGGGATTCTATTATAAAACGGATCAAATTCAAATGACCCTCTATCCAATCTGAAAAAATTCAATCCAATCTATAAATATATATAATGTGTATGTTGCATTTTTGTAATTTTTTTATAAAAAGACATGTATACATATGATGAAAATACTTGAAAAATATACTTGTATATTTTGTTTTTATTTACATAAACTGTTATGTTTTTTCTTTTAATAAATTTTTAATTTTTTAGAAATTAAATTGGATTTGATCATACTCAGATATCTAACATCCTTAACGGATTCAGATTCAAATCGACATTTGTGAGATCCGATCAGATCTTCGTATCACATCTAAAATTTGTTCCGATCCATTTGTAATTGTGTGGAGTGAGCTCTATGTTTCAAAATGTAGGGGTGTTTGTATTCCTTCTTTCTAATGAATTTCCTTTTTTATTTATTTTTCAAAAAACAGTATTTTCAAAATGTGTACTAGTTACAAAAATTGATTCAGTAGAAATATTAACAACTTTGGGGGAAGAGACAGCTCAGCTAAAGGTTTCCCAGTAAATGACACCAAATGGTTCTATATTGCAACTACTATGATGAATGTCTACCTAAAATTAGCATTTAATTCAGTTACTTAAGACATTATATTGATCCAAGCCTATAAATAGACAAAACAAACATATATTCTGATACATTTCAAGTAAGGTCCAATGATGGGCCCTAACTAAGTGTACCATCTCCAACACATGGAATTGGAAGCCCAATGTCGTTGTTGCACATTGAAAAAAGTGCACCAACACAATTAGATTGTGCCTAAGTCGCCCCTCAACCACTATAAATAACGTGAGCAAATATTAGAATAGAGAAATTATTGAAAGGAAAAGGTTTTCTCTTAGCACAATAAAACAAACACCAGTGTATACCACAAATAGAAACAGGAAAATTCTAGTAAGCCAGTAATTAAGTCCCTGTTTTCTTTCCTCAAAACAGGGGGGGGACCAGGTTCGAACTCCCATTTTCAATACACCTGAAAGTAGATAGAAACCACAAATGCCATCACCAATGTCTTCAACAGTCAGATATTTCATATTTCCAATGACAAATGATTAGTGGTATCTTCACCAAATCTAATGCAAGTAGTGGTATCTAGACCAAATTGGTTTTTAAAAGTAACCAAAATGTTAAATATTTGCACCTATCAACTAAGGGTATTTGTTTCCATTAACCTTTAATGGAATAAAGACATCTGAAAAGGRACCTAAGAAACCAAAATAAAGAAAAAAAGAACAAAGAGATTCCAAATGCCTGAAGCATGACAGTGATTCAAAAAGCGCACCTAGGCACTCAGGTGAGGTGCATTAAGGGATTTGCCTTGCCTAGGCCCCAGGCGCAGCACTTTCAAAAGGCATGTGCCCAGTGTGCCTAGGCCCCAGGCATGCACCTGATGCACCTAGACCCCAGGCACAGCACTTTCCAGGAATCCCCTATTTGCTAATGTTGTTCATTCATTCGTCCTAGTAAAATGTCTGCTTAAAATGCCATTAAATTATAAAATCATTTTTTGTGTAAGGATTAAGAATTTAAGAACCTAACATGGACTTGTTTGGGTTTGCCTTGAGGGGCTTGGTAAAAAGGCGGCTTGGAGGATCAAGAATGCAAGATGTTTTACATCAAATTATCTATTTGAAGTAATGCAATTGGGGAAAAAAAGAAATTGTGGGTTTTATATGCTTGGAAATGTTTTATATGTTTGATTTTATTTTTAAATTTTCATTTGAATATGCCTTACATGTTATGTTTATGTATTTTAATTTCAGATAATAGATTTTTTAAAATTTAGGTTTATATTTTTATTAATATTCTGTTAAACTTTTTTGCATTTTTTTTAATTTTTGGCATTTTTTGTAATTTTGCACCTTGCTTTGAAAATATGTGCACCTCACATTGCACCTTGCGCCTTGGGTGCAAATTGCCCCTTGTGCTTTTAAAACACTGAGGCATGAGCCAGAATGAAGTGAGGCATGAGCCAGAACGAAGCGAGGCACAACTTTTCAGAAAATAAAAAATATAAATCTTGGCATGTAAATATATGAAAATCTCGATTCTAAATCTAATAAAAAGCACATAAACCTCCATAATGGAATAATGTGATGATCCATTTCAGCCAGTTTAAAAAGTATAGTGGAAATTTGAATAACTTTCCAAAAAAATCCTGAGATATAAACAAACTAGAAAATAATTATCAAAAGACCCAATTAGAAAACCCAAAAATTAAAAAATTGCTACTTGATAAGGAATCAGCAGAAAGCTGATTTCTGTCTCCATGGATTCTTTCCTTGCTTCCATGCCTGTCTCAAGGAGCCAACTTATATCCAAAGGAAGAAGACAACAAAAGAAGAATAAATGGTTAGTTGTATCCTTACCTCATTTGCTTACAACACAACAGTAATAAATCTCCAATCCCACCCCCTCCCCCAATTATTTAGGTGATCAATAATAAGCATCTTACAAAGGAACAGCAACCATATAAATGCATCCATCCTAGAAGAGTCAAGCTTCCCCATGATGCATGATGCCAAATAACCAACTAACAGAACATAGAAGGATATGATAACAACCCCTCAGGTTCCCCTTTCCAAAAGATTTCATCCCATGGTCAAGCCTAAGGAGGATATCTTCAAACTTCAGAAACACAGGCAAACATCCATGATTTCTATAATTTATGATAGGTCTAAGATGGTTTTCATCCAGAAGTTGATGTGTAAGTCTAACAAATAAAATTTACACTTTTCTAGCAAGAATTTGCATTAAAACCTTAAGCTAAGATTTGCCATAAATAGCACCATGTGAATAATTGCAATCCAATAAATAATTGCTATCAATCACAAGTGAGAGAAATTAAAATATTTAATTAGCTCAATGCTGCTAATCACACTTTAAAATCAGTTAATCTGGCCAACAATTTCCGTACTTATAATAAAATAGAGAACAGAATGGTTACCCAAACAACAAACGGCAATTGTAATCGGAATCCATAACTTCATAAGTTGTAGAATCAGCTCCATTGATAAGGAYGATTGTTCCCTCACTAGTTTCTCTGTACCAGCTAAACAGGCTTGAGCCCTCATATCCACCATAGTACTCACCTTCTCCACAATATACACTAGAAGAAAGTTCCTTCACACGTACATTAGAAACTACTGGTGGAGCTGCCAAATTATTTCAAATGATGAGTCCAATGTTGTAAAATGGTTCAAAACATGGTTAAAGTTKCTTGGTTGAAAGAAGGGTCAATAAAAATACACAGCATAATAGCAGTTGCAGTAAAGCAGAGGGTAGGCAAACCCCATTCAAAGATCTGACAGAAAACTACAGGGTCAAAATTGATCCGATAACAGCAAAGGGCACAATCCAAAAGAGAACAAAAATGAGTGAAAGGTCAAAGTGAATTATATGAAAGCATGTTTAAACTTAACAAAATCAGATTTATTCGTAGTGAAGACCATCTAATTGAGAACAATTGCACTCTAACCTCAGCAGAGCTGTCTGAATACACATTCTAGTATGACAACGATCCACATAACTATCCTAGAATTCCAGAAAATATCCACAGTTTTTCCTTACTTTATGTCTTTGTGAATAATAGGACTTTTATTGCCTTCATGAATATATAAATTAGAGAAACAGCAAATAAACTCATACCTGGGGTGACTGGGTATTCACTAATCCTAACCAAAGGATCACCACATTTTCCGTCTGCACGAGTTGGCACCCAATACAATGCCAGGTATGTTCCCACGTCTTCCAGAGATGGAGTGTATACACTGAAATGTTAATAAATCAATCACTAACATAGTTTTGCAGGAAATATAATTCTAAAACTAGAAACATGTAATCACAGTATGAAAAGGACTTACATTGTTTTTCCACATATAAAGGCATCTTCATGAACATTAGATATATTAATCAAATCGGATTCCTGAAGCTTTTTCTTTATTCTGTACCAGATGTATTCACCATTACCTTCCTGTCCGCCATAGTATGTCTTCTGAGGAACCACTTCCTTGTCCTCAAAGCATTCAGGAATGATAAGTTCCAAGCCCATAGGATCCGCTGGCTCAAGAAAAATAATGAGGATAAAAAATAATTTATTAAAAAGAAAGGAAAATAAACATCAAACACCACTGAACCAGTACAATAAATAATGAATAAGTAAATAAGAGGAAAAAAAGATAAAGAAGAAGATCACTAGAGTTTGGCATACAATTCATGAAGGACAACAAATTACATAAACAGTAACTGCATTGTCATTCTCTCCATAGAAATTACAAATGAGGAAAAACTTCCAGCACTTACCATCAGGCCATGACAGTACCAGTACATCAAAGATATTTTCTTTTATAATTGGTACATAAAGAAACTTTTTTCGAAGGTTGCAATAAAGCACCCCCTAAGAAAATAAATACAGGATTAGCCACAAGGAAAAAAGCATTTACCAGGAGCAACAACTTCAGACAGTACACTCCTAGGACTCCCCTTCATTCCATCAATCCGAACAGGTGTGTAAACAAGCTCAATGCGTCTACCCACATCATCAAGGGTCAAATCCAAAAAATCTGCTAAGAATAACAAAATAATTATTTAACCTAGTATGTTCATATTTCTTTTCCATAAGATAGGCTAAAGGCTTTGTAGTTGTTACCAAATAACCCAATACACTTACCATTAACACTTAATTTGTCCTTTGCACCATTACTTCTCATCCTAAACCATTCGTGCAAGCAATTTCCCCTCTCACTAAACAAGAATCAGAAATTTAACTTAATGCTCAGGCATAACATTAAAATAAAAGGACRAAATTCAAAAATCAAAACCCAAGAGTAGTTACAATTGTTAACAATATCTTACCCTCCACAATAAGTAGCAATAAAGCTCAAACGTTGTCCCTCAATCATTGAGCCAAGAAATTCCAGAGACCGACAAGTTGGTGGCCCTGCACAATGAATCAATTCAAAAAACAATTACTTTTCTATGGTAAAACTTTCAAGTTCTTACAAATAACAAACGAAAAATCATTAGCATCATCCATCTTAAAATGAATAGAATACCACACTGTCAACGACACCCATCTCATTGGCAAAAAAAGGACAAAAAAAGATGATCCCTCACTAACATCTATTTCAACCAAGTTCATAAAATTCATATCTAAAAGTCGACAACTTACCAGGTATAATTGGTCCAACTTGTTCAGAAACAACAGTGGGACCACGAGCCCAATCATTTCTAACAGGTTCACATGAAACAGAGATAAATTGGCCAATATCATTACTTGAAATCATATATGAAGCAGATGTTGCACCTTTGATTTCAGTCTGTGTTCCATCTGAAGCAGTCTGCTAACACATATTGTTTGTTATTCAAACATTCTAGAATATCATTGACTAACGAAAGAAGAAAAGAAATTAAAAAAAATTATAACAAATAAAAGGAAAGAAAATTTGGAACATCACAATATTTTTCCAGTTAGGAGTAGAATGGCACATTATTATTGAACATTTACCATGGAAAACAATTAGGAAGAACAAACRGTGTTCTTTGTTTAGTATTATGTGAAACATAAAGAATTTAATCTAATCCAAATCAAGTCACCTTGAAAGGTACAACAGTTAACAATCAACATATACTCTACTGTAATGCAAAAAAATTTGATACCAGGAACCAACGGAAAACCGATTCTCCTTCTTCTCCGCCCCAGTACTTTTTATCAATATGTAGTGTAGTTCCTTCTACAGCCCGCCCTTGTATTTGCAGAGAAAGCAATCTTGGGCTTCCTATTCATTAATGTGCATTCAAATATTATTATGAAACCCATCAGCATTTAAAAAATAAAAGTAAATATGCATTGTATTAAAGATCACAAGAATAGAAGTTAAAGTTCAACTGTCTGTAGCACTACTATTACAGCCAACCATTAGAAAACTTACAAAACCATAGCATGTTAAATTAGGTACCTAGACCCCGTGCCAAGATGAAGAAGCTAAGCACCAAGAAAAATATCAGACCATAAATGTAGAATACAAACTCCTTTTTTAATTCACTGTTAAAGTGAGATTTAATTCATAAGCATCAAGGAGAAATTCATTAAAAACAGAAACCACGCTGCTTAGAACCAGAGCAAGGGGACAAAAATTACAACATAACCTTAGAACAAGCCATAAAAAGGACAAAAACAGCAGAACAAATTCCTCTTACAAATTACAGCCCGGCCCTGGGCAACCCCAATCCAAACCATCTTTTTCCTACCACCAATCTCGCCAGGGAGTCGGCTACACTATTTGCACTCCTGGGTACCCAAATGAACAAGATGTTCAAGTTGGCACCTAAGGAATGAGCCAATCTCACCAACTGTCTAAATTTCCAAGGTATTAAATCCTGAGATTGCATCCACAAAATAACTGTTTGACAGTCCCCTCAACCACTATATCCAATAACCCTTGCTCAATTATCAGTTTAAGGCCTTGAATTAAGCCAGCAACTCTGCCCTTAGAGAATTTCCAAACATAGCTGGCCCTGAAAAGCTAAGAATTATATTGCCAACAGAACCTCTTAACACTCCCACTCCTGAGCTCCCAGGGTTTCCATAACAGAACCCTTTTTTTTGACCAACCAGATTACCAGACTAATTCATTAATTAATAAAGAAGATACAAGAAAACATCCCAGACAGAGATAAACTCTCTTAGCTCTCTCCAAGATGACAAAATGGTACAGCAATTACAGAACAGCCCAAAAGAGTTGATCCCTTCCCACCCCTTGCTTTACCAAAACATCAACAAAGGCATTTGCACTCCTTTTAACCCACTGCAACTTAATCTCTATATCCTGAGTTAAAAAGCCTAAACTTCCTCCTCTCATTGACAAATTTCCACCATACGGTCTCACCTTTTTGCAGTCAGCTAACTACCAGCTTTGAATCCCCTTCTATGATCAACTTACTTATATTCAGCTCCTTGGATTTTTGGATCCCTTCCATCACAGCCAGGATTTCTGCTCTCAAGGAGTCTCCCACACATATTGGTCCCAAGTAAAGGGCAATAACTCCTCCCTCCTCGTTCCGACAAACACCTCCAATACATGAAGGGCCTAGATTCCCTTCACTACTACCATCAAAATTCAGTTTAAAAAAACCACAAGGAGGTGGGACCCAAACAGACCTTATTACAGCTCTTGGAAGAGAATAATCAGCCGCCTCCTTCCACTTTCTAAGCAAGTCATTTGTAAGAATGTCATCAAAGCTTCTCAAGGATTTAACCCAATGGATTACTCTAACAGTGATGGCTTCTATGATTGCTTCTCTGTTCCTTTCCTTGTCTGAAAAAAAATTCTTCAATTCCTTTCTTCCCATATTGTCCAGCATATTGCCTCTCTTGTAGACCACCAAAGGGTTCCCCCCCCCCTCCTCTTTTTCTAGTTAACACAGGAAGAATCAAACAAGCCATGAACATTTGGTGGGGGGTTCCACCTGCACCCAAAAAAAGAGAAAAACCAATCCCAAATATAACGAGCAAAAGGGCAGGAAATTAATAAGTGGTAACTAGTCTCACCATTATCCTTGCAAAGGATGCACCAATTTGGGGAGAGGAACCCATCAACGTTTAGTTTACAACTCCCAACTGCTGGTGGAGTCCATTCCACCACTCTTTGTGGTACCCATGGTTTTACAAGGCGGTTGAGGCGAGGTGAGAAGCGTACGCCTCAAGGCAGGGAAGCCAGATTTCGCCTGGCCTCAGTAGCCTCAGTTGCAAGACAAGGGGCGTAAGCCTTAGTTTGATAGAGGTGTAGGCCTTTAGCCTTTTGCCTCATTTTATGTGAGGTGGGGGCCTCAAGTTAAGATAGTTTGGGGTGGGGAAAAAATGATTTCATCATGGGTAAATTTGGAAAAAAATTAAAAAAAAAAAGTAAAACCCCCAAAAGTTTAGGGTTCCCATCAATCAAATCTCCATTCACAGACCAAACTCGGGGTTTTCTCAGTTCTCACTGAACTCTGTAGTGACTTCTTCAATCTTCATCGAAATATTGAATATTCAAATTCAAGGAGGGACCAAAATCAAATCGTACAAGTCAGCCGTCCTTCCCCCTTCTTCTTCTTCTAGACTTCTTCTTGAATCGTTGTGGAACGTAGACAAATGTAATATTTTTGGTKGAATTTTTTGTCTCAGATTTACCATTACCATTGGTTTTTTGTCTCAGCTTTTACATCTTGGGTTGCAGTTCCAGCTTCCATGAATGTAACAATTTCTTTAGAACGCCAATGCTCTTTATTTGTTTGTCTTCAGTCGTTCTTCTTCCCCCCATCATCTCTCTAATTAATTCTATTCATGAAATCCATCCCTTCCCCATATACAGATTTTACAAATTTGATTGGTGTCAAAATTCATAAAAGAAAGACAATATCACTGTAAACAACTACCATTGTCTTTATGCATATTTGCCTTATCTAAGTGTTAGGTTAATTGCTTTTATTGATTGTTGATTGAGTATAAAATGGGATTATAGTATCACTGTATCTCGACTACCTGCATAGCAAGATGGTATCATGAGATTAAGCATGTTGAACAGGGATTTTACCACAGGAACTAATAAGAAATCCTTTATTTCAAATCATTGAAATGTATTATACATTTTCACTATTTGTTGGTTTAGAATTCTACTTTGCCTTTTGTCTTATTTATATCAAAATTCAGTTTGTTTCATTAATGTTTATGGATATCTGCTTTATCTAATTGTTAGTTTAATTACTTTTATTAATTCTTTATGCATATCCGCTTTATGTGCTGGTTAAGTATTGGACATTTGTATTGTAGAAACAAATTCTATAAAATAGTTAGTAGTTAGTTACTAGTTACTAGTTAGCGACTTCATAGAAGTAATCTTGAAAATATTTGAACAATCAACAATTATTGAACCATTGATACATTAAATAAGTCACAAATAATTATATAAAATTTCAATTATTTATTTTTCCATAATTTTTAAGTTTTTAATTTGAGGCTTACACCTCGCCTATTTAGCACCCAACCGCCTCGCCTACGCCTTTAGCCTATTAAAACCTTGGTGGTACCCTATTATTAAAACCCACAATTATGTTCCACCCTCTTAATAAATCATTCAGGCTTACTCCACTAAACTTTTCATTAACTTGAACCCAATGTGCAACCCTTACAGTTTTAAGTTCGATCAGTTCTGCTTCTTTGTAATTTTTTTCAAATATTCCGCTATTCCTTTTACTCCATAAACCCCACAATACCACCCCTCTCATGCACTGCCACAAGATTTTCTGTCTTGGTGTAGAATGTCTCATTGAAGTTAGATTATTCACATAGAAAAGAAATGGAGGTAAATACAAGTTTACAACTACAAATGCGTAATGTGAATGCAGATAATTTTGCAACCCAGCAGCCTAGCTAATTTGATGACATAGAAAAACCTATTATGAAGAAAAGAAAATCTCACAAAGGAAAGCAACCACAGAAAAGCATCCTTATCATACATCGGATCTATGAATTGAGCTTGTCAAACTTCACAGCTGGACTTGACCAGATGGTGGACGAATGTGGTTATTTTAGGACTATTAAGTCAGTATGAGGAATGTGGTTAATTTAGGAAGAAAATATTGAGCCAGGACATTGATGAAATTATCAGGCCCATTGGGATTATCTTAAAATGAGAGAGACAAAATTGGCAATGTGGTATTGCCAGAAGCAACTATCTGTCCTATCCTTATTCTGACTATTCACAACAAGATGGGTGAAAGCAACAAGACAATGATGATGATGAACATGTTGAAAGTGATCAAGCTCATCCACCAACTTCATACTTGTAAGTTAAATTCTTTTTCTTTCTTGAAAACCCATTATTTATTCTGCTACTGTGTTACAGTTCAATATTCATTGTTCTTGTTATCTTTCATTCAGTCTTTTCTTTATCATTTGGAATTTTGAGATCTCAATCAACAATCCAGTTTCCTAAATCCTAATCTTAATTTATTCTCTTGTGATTCTTATTATCAAATCACATTTTACTACAAATAGTAACTGTGGGAATTCGTACAAAAAGAAAGTCCACAAATCCATGAATTATTATAAATACTTTAAATTTTCAAATATATAAATAAATAAATAAATAGTAATCATTTGCTATGGGCAATGCCATTCTTTAATTAACTGAAGTTTTAGAAGACATTTGGAAAACTTTCCAGAACATTTTGATGCCTAGGAATGTAGGAATGTATCCTAGAGATTATGGCCCAAAAAATCTAAGAAAAATCAAAAGATCAATTTCAATCTTGATCACAGTAACTGTGAAGTGTGAAATAATTATCAAAAAAAAAAAGATAACTGTTAGCTGCTTTTTAAGCTGCAATCAAGCATTTATTGATCACTTCAAAAATTTCTACAGTGGTAGGAAGTGTCCGAACAAGTTTACATGAAAAAAGGAAGCAAGCAACAACCTCTTATCCCTCTCTGTTTTACCATCAACTTGTTTTGAGCTACCCCTGCACTACCTTGGGGTGTGAGTTCCTTAGGTTGGGTGATATTTAGTGGGTATGTTATTATTATTGTGAATATAAACCCTCTTGAGTTCTATGACATTCTCTGAGATCCATTCTAAGGACAATCATGTTTGAAATGCTACTAGAAAGTATTCAGATGTCCTGTTTCAGACAATGTTTTAAAATGTGGAGGAGTGAAAAATGGCATTCCACTGCCTGGAGGCATGAGGCATAGTTCAGAATGTAAGAGGTGTAAGCCTCCTGAACACAAGGAGGTGTAAGCCTACTTAAGAGGAGGGGGAGAGAAGGAAGAAGAAGGACGATCTCTTTCTTTCTTTATTTTTAATAAAAATCATTTATATGAAGAAGAATGAATATGCATAATACTAGCAAAGGACAACCTTGTTTCAAATGCTACTAGAAAGTATTCAAATGTCCTATTGCAGGCAATGTTTTAAAATGCAGAGGCATGAGACAAGGCATTCCACTACCTGGAGGCATGAGGCGTAGTTCAGAACATAAGAGGCATAAGCCTCCTGAACACAAGGAGGTGTAAGCCTCCTTCAAAGGAGGGRGATGAGGAGGAAGAAGGGGGGGGGGAGGTAGAAGAAGAAGAAGGATGATCTCTTTTTTCTTTATTTTTAATAAAAATCTTTTATGTTAAGAAGAGTGAAGATGCATAAAAATCTTTCATTCCCCTTCTCTTTCCTTCCCTTCCATTCCCTTTGATTTTCCAAGCATACACCTCCCATGCCTTTTAAAACACTGCTGGCAGATTGGAGAAACACCAAAGCTTACAAAGAACAGAGTGAATGGTTCTTTGATCATGGGTAAATTTATTTTCATTAAACTTCCTTGGAGATGCATGTTGCAAAAATAAACCAAATGATTTCCAGCACCAAGATTCATCATGCTCCCACGTGTTTTTAAAGATATTCTTGAAAATATACAAGCTTTGATTAAGGGAGAGTCATTGTCGTGTTCAAGGGTCCTTTTATTTCTTCTTTACTTTTAGTTTCTTTTGTGTGTCATTGGGGTATTTGATATGTTAAACTCCCTGAAGAGTGTTCCTCAGATTTCTGGGTTTGATCTTTGTTAAGTAGGTAGCATGTTTTTGTGATTGTAAATGTGATGAAAGGTGAACTTGCTCGATGACTGATCATGTCTTGGATAAAAGCCAATGGACCTCCATGAGTACTTTGTTGATGATGTCTTGAGTAAGAACCATAAACCACCAGGAGCACCAATCTAATCAGTTAATGACTGGTCTCCCATGAGTAAAAAGCAAAGTGTTGTCATGAGTGCAATCAAGCTGATTGGATCCTTAAAGGTGTTGTGTAAGAGATACCTGCCACCATGCTGGAATACTCAAGTTGAGTTGTATGAGAGATGATCTAGAATGTTGCTACCAAGATTACATAGTTTCTTTTTAAGCAAGCTATTCGGGGCTAGCTTAATGGAGATTGTTGAAATATTCACTTTATATGAAGAATGGGGTAATTTTAGGAATAAAATATATAGTCCTTTATGAAATAGCAGACCCATTTGTGATTTTCTTGTTCTTCTCTTCTTTCCTCTCTCATTATTCACAAAAAGATGCTTGCAAATAAAGTAAGGTGGGTGAGGAAGGGGCTAAAATCACTTTTCTATATATTTGAGTACTCATTAAAAATATCTTCACTTTTCATATGTATCTAAAAGAGAAATAGTCTTAAAATTTACCATAGGATTTACAATTTGATTCAATTCAACTTTTACAATTTATGATAAGATTGACAGGTTAAATGTTTGATTCATAGGTTTTTTATTGTGGTAACCCCCAAGCCACAAACCAATCCAGCCAGTTGCAAGGGTGATCATTTTCAGCCCAGCCCAGATATTTTCAAGGTTTGGGCCTAGGTAAACTATAACATATATTTTATCCATATATTATATGTCATATAATATAAACTAGTATATGAGGGTGGGCCTTGGCGCAACAGTTGGGTTGCTCCATTGCAACCTGGGTGACCAGGGTTCAAATCTTGGAGCCTCTCTGTATGTGCAGGGGTATGGCTGCATACATCTGTCCCTCCCCAACCCATGATCAATACCCAGTAGCAACCAGTGGAAGGCATGTTTCATATTTCCTACAAAACATGATACACAATCAAATGTGCATTTATATTTGCCAAATATTGAAGGAATTGTAATCACCAGGACGAACCCGCTCCTGCCCCAAGGAAGTTCTTGGCTCGCCCACAATCCCATCATCACGCACTGGTGTACATCTGAAAGAAATAAATTTCCCAATAGCATCTTTTGTAATACGATACTGTAGAAGCCCAGATGCCTCAGGTATTAAAGCACCTGCATCTGACTCAACCTACACAACATCAAAAAGTCAAAACCATGAAAGATGAGGCAACAAAAAGATGCATACAGGTCCTATCAAGTAAAATAAACCTTGTTATACCCATAAACAAAAGCAAGCATCCATTGCCTCAAATTAACTATTAGCTAAAATAATATGCCAAAAAGAAGTGCATGTTCATTCTCTTAGTTAATAACAAAATAAAATGTTATTATATAAAACTACCCTTCACTTTTCCCCGTTTCTCTTAAACTCACCCAAACTTTTCAAAACCTCTGGAGGCCCCCCTCCCCGGTCAAAAATTAACAGATTTTGCAAATTTGCCATACTATCCTTCTTGTCAGATATCTACGTTAGGAAATGAATTACCTAAATGAGAAAGACGCAATTAAAGAAGAGAAATAACAAAGGAAAATAAGAAAGACCTGGATTTCTGCCAAGGAGGGGGGGGGGAGAGAGAGAGAGAGAGAGGTGGCGAATGGGTGTGGGTTGAGCACTGACCCACCCATATTGACCCTCTAACCCATTTGCCACCCATATTTATTGATGTTAGTGGGTCATAACCCACCCTAACCCTGACCCATCCTGAACCACCCATATGACCCACCCTAACCCAAACAGGACTTTTTCCTTTTTTTTACTTTTTCGCTATTTCAAATGCATAAACACGTAGAAATATATACTTCAACTAAGAAAATATAAAAAATAATAAAAAAGTTTAAAAAAAATATTTTCAAATAAAAATAAAAACACTAAAAATGATAAATATATTCCATGTAAAATATAAATAAAAAATTAATGAAAATGATAAATATATTTCATGGAAAACATCATAAATTATAGACAAAATAAAAATAAAAATTTAAATGAAAGTATGATTTCACATAAAAACAGAAAATTGTAAAAAACATAGAAAATTGTAGAAAAAATACAGGACTTCAGAAAAATATAAAAAAATAAAAATAGAAATTTGAAAAAAAACGACAAAAATATAATTATAAAAACAAACAAATATTAAAAATACAAAAAGTTGCAAATAAATAACAAAAAATACAAGAAAATGTATAAATTGCAAAAAAGTTACTAAAAAGCTGGAAATTATAGAAAAACATGAAAATACAAAAAATAAATTATAGGAAAATTTTCAAAAAAATATAAAAAGTGCAAGAAATTCATGAAAAATGGAACTGTGGAACCTAATTATACTCTTCCAATTTTAGAGATTCTTAATTACTAGAAACATTAAGCACAAACTCAAATAAATTGTTTCCAGAGGCTTGCAAGTTGCAACTTAAAGTGAATATGAGCTGCGACAACAACATTGGAAATGAGAATATTTGAAAAGAGTGAAACCTTTGATTGAAGCTGACAAAATTTGAATAGATTGAAACCAAGAAAACAGTTTTGTCTTGCAACTATCCAAATAATGAAAATAAGAGGAGACCATGAAGACTTACTGATTTCAGATGTAATAAAACCTTCAAACGATGGCAGACAGGATAGAGGAGAAAAAGATGTGGCAACAGGAAAGAAGAGAAAAGACTTCAATATAGAGAGAGGTTCAACAAAAGCATCACCTATCCAAATTTGGAAGTTCTTATCTACAGATTAACAAGCTTTTTGTATATTGTATACATATACAGATTAGCGACAATTGGTATAKAAAACACTTGGTGGCTTAAGAACTGAGAAATAGCAGCAATGAGATTTACTTTTGACCCTTCCCTCAATCCTAACCCTAATAGCTTCAATGGMAGAACAAAGAACTTAGAAAAGAAATTCAAACCCGAACAGAGTAGCAGCTTCAATGACAACCTCCACTGGCGGAACAGAGAACTGAGAAAAAAATTTTCAAACCCTGATAGAATAGCAGCTTCAATGGAGACTTCCACTGCCGGAACAAAGAACTGAGAAAAATTCTTTTTTCAAACATTGATAGAATAGCAGCTTCAAAGGCAACTTCCACTGGCGGAACAGAGAACTGAAAAAATATTTTCAAACCCTAACAGAGTAGCAGCTTCAAACCCTAACTGAGATAAAGAAATTTACTTTCGACCCTCCCCACGACCCAATTCACCCTGACCCTTTTTGACCCATTTGGTACCCTCAACCCAACCCCACCCTGACCCTTGTTCTCAAGCACCACAACAAAGACATGCTTAGAAATCTGAGGAAGAAATATTTCCTTTGGACATGTTTGAATAATGTTTTTGATGTGTTTTCAAAATAACTTTTCACTAATCCAATAAAGAAGGAAGAATTCCAAAATTGACTTCCAAGATATTAATATTTTGTAACAAGTTTTGTCTATTTATTAATTTATTTTAACTTTTCCATTAATATTTTCAATTTAAAAAAAAAAAATATGCCTCCCACAGCCCAGCCTGGCAAGGACCCACCTGGACTCATGTTGTGGGCCGTGCCGGGCCTGACCTTTAAGGCTTCCGTGCCAGGCAAGCACGGCCCGCCCAAGACTGACCTCCATTTATCTCTACTCAAGGTTAGTTTGGTCATTAAAAAGATTAATAACTTAGCTAGACAACTTCTGTTAATGGTCATTAACAGTGCCCTGACAGAAGGTAAATTACAAATAACAAAAATTCTCTAGCAAGGGGTTTTCTGGAGGTTTTGAAAAGTCAGAATAAGTTTAAGAGAAATGAAAAATGTTAAGGGGAGTTTTAGAAAATAACCATAAAATAAAAATAGCACTCCTACTCCATAATATCAAAAATTATAACAAACAAATGCAGCACTATCTTAGCCTGAGTAACCTGGATACTAAAGTGCTGAGAGATCTAGGTACCAATAACATGCTCAGAAGAAGTTAATACCTCATGGAGATACCAATTATAGATGCTTTTGCCTTCATGACCCCCTATATACCCATATGATGCAGTTAGTATTTCACCCTCTGAGTAATCCCCAGTAACAGATAGGAAATTCAGACTTGGGGGAAGAGCTGCATCAATGTTGAACTGTTAGCACTAATATTAACAGCTCATGCATGATAAATTTGTCACATCAAAAACATCATGGGGTCATTGCAACTTGCAAGCACAGAAAAATACAATAAGAAAATATAAAGAAGACGCAATGTAATAATTTCATAAAAGCTAAGATGAACTTCAAAATGATAACCAAAAATAAAGAAAATAAAAGAACAACAGATACATATACACATAAAAAGCAAAACTTACCTACAATATGTATACATGTTTGAGGCTAGGGCTGTTCATAAGAAGGCCCCCCGACCAAACCGACCAACCCGGACCGACCCAACCCGAGTCGGCCAGGTTTTCATCAGCACCAATCGGTTTCGGGTTGGGCAAATTCATAAACCGATATATCGGGTCGGTTTTGGTTTTCTTGTGTGAAAACCAAAACTGACCCGAACCGAACCAAACCAATTAGTCTTCTAGTTCGGTAGTTCCTACTTAACTAGTCTTCTAGTTCCTACTTACCTAAATTGTATCTATCCTAGTTTCTATAGTCTTTTACACCAAATAGGCAACCGATTAGGCAATTACAATTAGAATTAGGTGTCCTTTTTTACCTAGATTAGAATTTAGAAAGTTTCTTGAAATATAAATATTTCAGCCTTCTTTCTATAAAACAGTTTGACTTTCTAT